GCCCAGGAGACAAATCAGAGCAGCATGAAAAGGATCTAAAGCTCCCAGTGCAGAAAAAGTGAAGGCAGATCTAAAATGTGTCTTTTAAGGCAATGACTGCTAAGGACCTCTTACAAAGCTGTGGTGTGAGAGCTTTTGAGGGAGCGGAGTCTGAGTAAAAGGGGAGACTTCTGGTGCGTCTGCAGTATGCGAGCCTGGAGAAATTGTCATCTGGGCACTTCTGCAACATTTACTTACAGTTACTCAGGAAGGCTGTATTGATTTAGACAACTCATTCCCAGGGGGACCACAAATAGTTCCTGGGGTTGTCAGGCTGCTTGTGATCAAGTGGCTGCAAAGCTGCTTTGGAAGCCCCTGGACTTCTGCCACCTGGGCTGTGAGCGTGGGCAGATGCAGCTTCCCTCTGCCCAGATGTGCAGCTGTGACTATGCAGGTGTGTGCGTGCTACCTCTGCTCCTGCTGCTTTTTGAGGGGAAGAAGAAGAGCTATAAACCCCTAAGGCCAGTAAATCCTCACCTATCTGGTAAGTCCTGCTGTCCCATTATTTATTCATGGAAAAACATTTGACTTCAGACCACTGGATTTATGAAATAAAAGCAAAGTATTCAAGCATTGCATTTTTGTCAGTTGTTTGTAATGATAAATTTTCCTGATGTTACCAGTAACCTACAGTGTCGTGTTGTGGTGCTGCAGCTATTGGACTAAAATTGGACTAACACTCTCTTCCTATGGGTGGGAAGATTTGATTAGCACATGCACCGATTTGGCAAAAAACCCACATTAACTATATTTAGTTTTGCTCTTGCTTTTTCTGAAAAGATCATGTAGGCTACCCATGACTGTAAAATACATTTTTTAATTTGCTACCTTCTTTAAGGCCTCTTTTGTCTTCCCCTAAAAGTAGGGCTTCCCTATGTCTTCCTTACGTGATCTTAACTTTGCGTGCTGCTGATAATGAATTTGAACTAGACCTGGTTGAGAATTTTCCAGCAGAATGAATTTCAGCTAGAAATGTCTGTAGAACAAATTTATCAGAAAAAGAAGTTTTATGGATATTTTTGAAAAAAATACTTTTTCTAATAGGAAAATCAAAGCATACTATTCTGTTGTGTTTAGTTTGACCAGATTTGCCGTCTTTTATTTTATGGAATTGACCTTTAGGATTTTATATTTGAGTTAGCTGAAAAAGCAAAACCAAAGCTCTTGAAACTGTGTGGCACACTAAAACTATTCTTGTTAACAACTGATAATTTGTGCAAAACTTTTTCCCCCCCAAAAAATACCAAGTGAATTTCTTCAAAAATAGCTGAGTTCTCTGTATGAGTGACAGATGTAAGCACATTTTGCCTGTGTTTTTAAAGACTATTCCAAAAAAAAGAATGTGCTTACAGGTATTTGGTTACAAATGTTGGGATGCTCCTATCTTCGTGTTGTGAAAGGGACGAATACATTACTCAACACTTGTCATATTGAGACATAGCAAGCAAGGGAACATTATTTATTTTAAAAAGAAAGAGGCAACTTTTTCTAGTTCAGTAAAGCCTGGAGCTTGATGTTAACTTAAATACAACTAGGAGATGATAGAAGCCACAGGAACAAGTGAGAGTGTGGTTTTGTCGTACACCAATACTGATGAGCATTAGAAAATTCATTGGTAACTGAGACTATGAAAGATCAAAAAAAGTTAGCAGGTTTATACTTCTGTTTTGTACAGTTATATCCAATTTCAAAGTTCTGTCTTTCTTCTTTCAGAATGATCAGTCTATGCAAGATATGCAGATAATGGGAGGAGATGATCTTTCAAAGCTGACTGGGAAGGTTTGTTAATTTTATATTTAAGAAAGAAAATACATCCATTAAGAACACTTGAGGAAAGCTGTATATGGACCGTCAGATACTAATATTGTAGTCAAAAAAATGTATTAATCTCTATTAAATTGCTGTAATGCCATTGCTTTCAGTTTGCAGGTGCCCAAGAAGGTCAGACTGTAGCCCCTCCATCCTGGTGTAGGAATTTCCCAATAGTTAAAACACGTACCATCAGTGAGATTGTGGGCAAAATTTGTCCTGTAATGCTTCCTCTGAGCTTGTTTATGTCTTGGAGCTTTGTTTTTTCTGCCCTCGCTGGGTGCATGCAGGCAAACTGTGCATGGAGTATCCCTGTTGAATTCAGCGTATCGGTTGTTTAGTACAATTTTGCCTACTGTACAAAGTTCAGCTGTGAAACCTTTCACTCATAATCAAATGGGATTTTTTTTTTTTTATTTCAACATCAGGCTGGCTGTATGACTGAATTTGCTTTGCACTATGCTTGAACATTCCGGTAATGAGAGAGAGTGGTTTGAGTCAGTGAAAAGGCTATTTTCATCCCACCATGGTAATACAAAGCAGTACTTTGAAGAGGAAGGAAGGCTGATTTCATTAGGCAAATGGTCTATGTGGAAAATGGTCAGAAATGGATTCTTTACTTATGCATTAAGGCAACATAATACTTACCTTGTTATTTGTACTGTGCGTGCAGTTACTCTTTTATTAGCTGGCACTAAATAATATCCATTTCTTCAAAGCACTCAAACATAGCACTAGCAAACTCATTTGCTTTCTTGTACTATAGCACACAAGAAAAAGAAAAGAAAAACTGAAGTATTTCATTAATATTAAATAGGTTTTGGTACAACTAGAACTTAAATGAAAAAAATGCTGTTACACTCAGAATATTTTAGTGAAACCTATGTCCTCAATTTGCACTTCTAAATACTCCTGCTGGGTGTTTGTTTCCAGATTATCACTGGAGCATTACTCATGTTCTTGGAAAATATAATTCATTTACTGCATTCTTACATTCAAACACTGGAGCTACCTGTTTTCCTGTGACAATTTTGCATATGTTTCTCTACCTCACAGGCAGAACTGGAAGTGCACCTGTTCATCTTACCTAACATCTCTCTTTCCTAGATAGAGCAAACACTTTCTAAGCTTCCGAGCCCAGCTCCCCTTCCTGATCTTCCAGTCCCAAATTTTCTCCATTAATGGTTTCAGTTATCAATATCTTTTCTACATATAATCTTTCTAGCATAATTTGAATTCACTGGGGCAAAACATATTTTCTTTTGCAGGACTTTTGTGTATTTGTGTGTCCACATGTGTATGAGAGAGAAGGAAAATTTCACCCCAAGTAGTTCTGCTTTTTCCAAAAGTGAAGTAAATTGTTTTCTTATGCTGAAAACCCTGGTGACCTGTTTCTCATTGGCACAGCCTTCCTGTTCCCAGGTATGGAACAGGACATAAAATGTGGCTATTGTGGAGAGGACTGAACAGCAGTATAGTTTAAGGTTGCTGGGTAAGGAGGCTGGGATCTTGGGTAGGTGTGAAGAGGCTGGTTTGGGAACGAGAGCAGTTGCTGATCAGGAAGGGAGCCCAGTGCTGGAAGCTGGGTGCGGAGAGGCTGAAGCGAAGCAGGAAGGGAGGGCTGTGACTGCCAGGGGAGCAGACTTGCCGAAAGGGTGTGCTTCAGCAGTTGTCTGTGTGCGTGGTTGTCTGTGACACAGCTGGTGTATGAATAATTAAGTAGCGTTTTGACTGTAACACGTGAGAACAGGGTTTCCTTAAGACTTCTTTCACTGATTGAAAAGCTGAGATGCAAAGCTTGAGCTCAAATGTTCATACTTACACGTCTAAAGTTGGATATATGAAGGAGTGGCCTTATGTCCACGGATGCCAACTCCTCCATATGTTGTTGACTTAAGCAATTAGTGCAAGGATTCAGCACATTTTACTAATCAGCCATTTGCAGACTGATTCAGAACCTCCTACGGTCAATGTAAATCTTTCTTGGAAGTGTTTTTTAGTACCTTAGTTTAGCTGCTGGCTTTTAAAACTGCTGGCTTTAGTAACCATTCTAAGTCACTTAGTGAATTAGTGGAAAACTTACTGATAGAATTCAGCTTCCCTGCTTTTAAGCAAGCTGAGTGCTTCTTCTGTCTGCTTGGAGTATTTATTAATGATATTGAAAATTAATATATGCCAGGTTAAGTCTCATTAACTTAGTGATCATGGAAGGCATTTTAAAAAGGGCCAGCGTGGGTTCAGAATGTAAGTTCTTTAAGTTTCTTTAAAGTTCAAAAGCATCAGTAGCGTAAACAGTTTTGAAACCTGCAGAAAAAAGTTTATGAGATTTTGATCTTGAAGTGCTCTTCCTTAAGTAATAATACCTGGAACCTCAGCTAGCCTGTAATCTTAGTGAACAACTAAGTCATTTCCATGCTTTACTTATTACTGAAAAAAAAGATTACTGAATATATTGAAGAACATTCTGTTCTATAACTTTTTTTTTTTTTTCTGAGAAAGCTTAAAGCAAAATAATTTAAAATTAGCTTTTACAGCTAATTAAAAGGAGGCTGTTAAGGATAATAGCTCTTCAGAAGGAAGAATCTCTCCTCTGTACTTCTCTACAATATGCTTTTGTTTACAAAAATTTTATAAGCCTGGGAAAAATGTATAATGACCCAAATCACGAAAAAGAGAAATATTCTGAGAGAGGAGAGTTAGCATACAGACCCAAAGTGTTAACCTGAAGATGATCCACAATTTGAAATTCTTCTGTGAAGAAGGTCACAGTGGCAAGAATGAAGATTTCCATGGCATGAATCATTAATAAAGGTACTTGAAGATTGAGTCCTGATATAGCTTAAGACTCTAATGCTTTGTAACTATTCATTTATATGCAGAAAAAATATAATTCCAAAATCTCTCCTTTAATTGTGTAAGTGATGAACATACAATTTCTCAGTAGCTGATTTCATAGTTAAATAGCTGCTTAGTTTTCAATTATTTTAAAGCTGAAATGCTCATGTGGGTAAAAAATACCAGTAACGTTTGTAAAGAGAAATAAATTTTGAAAAGGGGGATGTAATTAATGACTGTTCAGAAAACTAGAGGCACTGTTTCAAAGCAAGATGGCTCTGAAAATGTATGTAGATGAGGTGAAAGAACAAATAATATAAACTTGTTTAGTATTAATACTATAATCATACTGTATAATACTGTAAAAATTCATAACACATTTTCAAGTATTTGTGGCATTGTTTCTGTAGAATTCTCCTAACTATGTTAGCATTTCAGTTGTTAATAAATCATGTATGTGGCAGCTCTGGTACACAAAGTTTTATTTTCTAGATTTAAAATATATATTATCCTCTCCTTCACCATTCCAAGTTTGTTTCTCAGAATTTTGTTAGTTCTATACTTACTATTTTTTTTCCCTTCAGTAGTCACTGACTTGACTTTCTCTCCCTATATGCATTCCTTTCTGGAATAATGCCCATAAATTTGCAGAAAAAAGAATGGCATTCTCTTTAGAACATTATGTACATGAGAGACTATTTCTATGACAGTAAAGGTATACAAAATCCACTACACACTTCTGCAATAGTCATGTCTCCCACTCATCCCTACATCTTACTGTATTCCTGTCAGACATGCAGCCTTGCCTTTTTCATCTTTTCAAAGGTTGCCGTCTTTAGTCACTTTTGGTGTTCTGTGTTTTTTCTTTAATGACAGTTGCCATTCTTAACTGCTTTTTCCGCAGCAAAAAACAGTATTTTTTTTTCTTCCCCAAAGTCAACCACCTTTCTTTGCACTTCCTTCTTTTTGCTGTTGTTGTTGTTATTGTTTTGGAGGAAGGAAAGTACAAAGAAAACTTCCCAGCCTTCCTATCCCATTTTTCACATGGACTCTGCTCACCCACTGTCTACCTGCTTCCACATCATACATGTTCATAATACTGCTGATTTCGCCTATGTCCAGAAAATCCTCTTCCAATTCCAGATGATCAGAAACTTATATGTTTTCCTTCAAATAAGAGAACGGAGACGGCAATCCATTCCTGCATTACCTTTAGATTGATGATGGTAATTTGCTCTACTACAGAACACAGCATTCAACACAATGCTATCTAAGAACAAAACATCAGTGAGACATATCATCATGCCCTCCATTATGTCCCCCACTCTGTTAACTCTTGGAGATACTGAACTAGTCTTACAGACTTTAAGTGGCTGGAATCTGTACTAACCAAGTTGCTCTCATCAGCAGCTGACACCAAATTGAGTGTCTAAAAAAAACCCATTTTTGAGATATGATATCTGTCCTTTCAGGAATGCATCAGCCCAGCAGAAAAGATTAGAATCAGACATTCATGACCTTTTCTAGAACCCTGTAGAAAGCTCCTACTTAGACGTCTAATTTCTCAAAAATCTTTCATATTATTTTCTAACAGTTTGATGAAGTGTTAATACATATGGATTTCATTCCTGTGCATACCATAAAATGCTTTCATTTCTAACAGCAATCCTTTTAGCTTCCTTTGGACCTCTTCACTGAAACTCGATGTGTTACTGTTTAACCTTTGTTTGCTGATGATTCTTCAGCCCTAGGGCATTGCTTCTTCAAGCCTAACTTAAGTTGCAATAAAATGTCTTGTTTGACCAGTAGTACCTGAGATTCCCCAGATACAATGCTAAGAAAGCAAGTACTGTAGGTGTAATGAGTAAGCTGATAATCCATTAACAATTCAGTTTGAAGAATCACATTACCAATTTATGTATTCTGATGATAAGTACACATGAAAAGATGTCTTTAGAAATAATCTAACTGAAAATGCAGACTTCTGAATGGAAATTGAACTAAAGAAAATGAAAATACACTTGTTTTGTAGCCTTCCACCTCCCTCCCCAAAAACAGAGGTAATTAAAAAGAGACTTTATCTTTTTTTTAAGTATTTTGTATTTTTTATGAATATGCCTTCCATCTGTGGAACT